ATAGTTGGTAGCTGATGTTGTTGTTATTGTAGTAGACGCCTAACTAGGTCTGCGCTATTTGCTACTAATGCCGCCTCAGCCAACGGAGCTTCCTTTCTAGCCGTCTACGCTGATTGTTGGTGTTGTTTCGCTTTGTGTTACGGTGCCACAGTTTATGCAACTTATTGTGTTGCTGTCGTATGTTGCATTGTTAGTAAGTTAATGTTGTTGCTGTTGTTGTTGGCATCTACCACAAATGCATAGCTGTCAGACTGCCGCTATTCCGCCTAAAGTAAAGTAAAGTGCAATTGTATTGTTATTGCGCTTACCGTTACCGACACCGGCGTCGCCACTTCTGTCACCATCGTCACGGAATCCGTCTGCCACACAGCTCTGCGGTCGCAACATCAATGCGCTGCAGACAGTCTGTCTGTCGTGTCTGTCTGTGGTCTCCTTTTCCTTCCTTTATTCGCCGCTAATGCACATATGACTGCGTAAGTGTGTGTGCGCTCGGCTCGTTTTGCTTCCTTTGCCGAAAAGTGAAGTCTAAGGACTTTCGTCTGAGTGGATATTCAGTGTTAATTCCTGTCGTTTTCCGTTTCCTGTGCACTTAGTCCCACTTGTTTTATTCGCTTAGCTCTTACGAATTCGATTCGTACTCTTGAGATTCTCATACGGCGAATTTATTGAGAACTTTGCTGATACTTATCGAACCAATGAACTTCTGTAAAATATGAAAATGGATTTAAGAGAGTCAAATATAAATTCTCAAATCGTTTTAGTTTGGTTTACATTAGAATAAAAGTCTGATACTGTTTAAAAAGTCAACAGGGATCTCACAGGATAGAAAGTCAGTCCGCAATCGCCTTAATTCTTCCGCATGGTTTTGATACTTTAAACCTTTATTCAAAGTGCTTATGCCCTGCGGCTTGAAATTTTTTGCTAAACTTTTGTTCCAAAATACAAATACTTGTATAAATAAATTATTATTCGACAGTTTCTATGTTGTGATGTGACGACCATTTTCTCGAGTAGTTTTATTGCAAGGAATAGAACACGAAATCTTAACTTGCAACGAGTAAGAACGAAGAATCACAATCTGTTTCCATCTAGACGGCAACTTCATAATACCCCTCTTATAGAGAAGAACTCGGATAGCCACTTTTCACAAGCCTCTTTTGAGTTCCACTTTAAATCAATAAGGGCATTCGCCATGGACAGGAAAAGGTGGTAATCACTCGGCGCTGTGTCCAGGCTATATGGTGTATGCCATAAAACCTCCCATCCGAGCTTCCGTAGGTTTTGACGAGTCATCAACGAAGTGTGTGGTCTTGGATGTCTTGATGGAACTCTACACCCTTCCTGTTGGTCAATTCTGGACGCTTCTGGTCTATCGCCTGCTTCAAGCGGTCCAGTTGTTCGCAGTAGATGGTAGAATTAAGCGTCTGATCATATGAGAGCAGCTCATAGTGGATGATTCCCTTCCAATCCCACCAAACATTCAGCAAAACCTTCCTGGCTGTCTATCTCGGCTTGACCACTGTTTGGGACGATTCACCGGCCTTCGACCACGACCATTTTCGCTTGATATTGTTGAATGTGATACATTTTTCGTTGCCAGTCACCATCCGCCTCCAAAATGGGTTGAGTTCATTACGTTTCAGCAGCATATCGCAGGTTTTGATTCGGTCCAGAAGTTTTTTTTTTGCGGCAAATCAGGCGCACCCAAAAAATAGGCGTTTTTGTGTATCCAGCCTACTGCAGATGGTTTGAAACGGTTAGGTGACTAACTACTATTTTCTTTGTGATGTCACGAGCTGCCACATGCCGGTCTAATTCGATATTATCCAGGATTTGATCGGTATTCATCGTCACAGGTCTTTCGCCGGCTGGCTTATCCGTGGTGTCGTTTTCACCCGCTCTGAATCGCCGAAACCATTCCTGCGCAGTTCGAAGTGATAGAGTACCATCGCCCAAAGTACCATTAATCTCACGTAACGTTTCTCCAGCGGATTGCCTTTAACGAAGGAAAACTTTAAAATAGTGCGAATTTCGGTGTTAGTGAACTCCATATTTACACGTCTATAACTGTTGAACGCAATATCCAAACTAATTATGCATAGCGTCGCTTTGTGGGTTATGTCAAGACCTTTCAAAGATGTATTGTATTGCCAGATACGAGCTCTGTAACGTTAAAACATATTTGACAACCTAATATATAATGATAGATGGAGGCATGTGTAGAAGATCACGCAAGTGAGGAAAGTTCTTTGAGCGCCATTCACTTATGGCTCAAGCAGCCAAAACATTCGAGGCATGGACAATGACAACATCTGATGAGTGGACGTTATGAGTTTTCGAGAGAAAGATTCTGCGTAAGATTTATGGTTCTTTGCGTATTGGCAACGGTGAATATCGCATTCGATGAGATGTTGAGTAATACGACGACATTGACATAGTTTAGGGAATTATTACACAGCGGCCAGCGTATAAGTCATGTCGTCCGAATGGATAAAAACGCTCCAGCTCTGAAAGTTTTCGACGCAGTTCCCGTCGGGGGGGAAGCAGAGGAAGATGGAGACCTCTCCTCCGTTGGTGAGGTCAGGTGAAGAAAGACCTGACTACACTTGAAATCTCAAATTGGCGCCCAATTCGAGAAGAAAGAAGAAGCGATTGGCTGCGCCAATAAAGAAGAAGAAGAAATCAAATGCATATGCGGCAGATTTGGTGGTCACGAAGTAGCTAATTAAAAACTTGGAAACATATCATGTGCCATTTGATCAAATTTGCCCCGGACTAATTTTGAGATCCTCTTTTATCTGTCGCAGCAATGAAGGAAAAATTGTAAACCGATTCGGTTTGCTTACGCAGTATAAAAGAACCAGTCCCAGTCAATTTGAGCAAATGGAACAAGATTGAGTATTTAAGAAAGAGGGGATTCCAGCGAAATTGAATGCAAATTCTAAAACTAAGCACTTGCAAATAGTATACGAGAGCTAATAGTAAGTAACTTTAGGGTTATCTCAAGCACTAATTCCTAAAACTTCGGAACTTAGGAACTTCTGAAGATGTTCCACTATGTTTCCTACTTATCTCTTACGCGAACCGGTTGAAAAGTTATCTGAAGATCACACTTAGAATACCACTCTGGCATATGTGAAACATGGGATATGCTCGTAAGGGGATCGAGGGAGTCACAAGCAGAAGACAGTGCGTTGTCTCCACATATAATAAAAACACCACACGCCCTCCTTGCATCAAGAGCTTACTCATCATGTAATTATTTGTTGTTATTGTTGAAAATATTTTGTTATTGTCTCTGCCGTTGCACCCACAAATATATGAATGGATATGTGTGTATTTCTGATCATAAAGTGAGTTGTGTGCGCGCCACCGCCGGCCCACATGTATGTATGCGTATGTGTTCTTGCTATTTTCGTAATACTTCAACTTTACTAAACACACATTTACTAAAAATAAGAAGCAACCGTGTTTTCCTTACACTCGATTTGAATAAAATTTATGTTGTAAGTTATTTTTAGTCGCTCGAGAGCGGACATACGCGTAGACAATAAGCAGCGGCGAAGCGCAGTCAAAATAAAACAGACAAAATGTGCAAATGGAAAAGAAAAGCCAAACAACAGCAATAACAACATTGCAAAAAATGCCGCTTTCGAAAATCAGATTTTCACATTTTCGAAATGAGGAGTCTTCTGCCCGCCTTCAGCGCGGCGCATTGTCACCGTCATGTCGCGTTCGCGTACCACGTTTCGGAGACGTCCGCCGGCTGCCATCAAGTACGCGTAGGTACATATTTAAAAATACGAAATTCAAATAAAGTCGTGAATATACACTTTTACACACACTAGAAATTATTTTTAAAGTACGCGTGATTCGCGATTCGGCAGCGACGTGGCCGGGTGATCTTTGCGAGGACTACGAAGTCGAAATCGCATAGGACTGTGTGAGGGGCTCGATACTAGTGACGGCTAATATACATGCGCACGTACATTCGCACATTCAGAGACACAGTAGATGTGCGCTGGGTAGAGATGAGCACACAACATTGGCTTGCTGGCCGACTGACTAGCTGGCTGGCTCGTGGTAGACTCTGTCAGCGGTAGGTGCGCCGTTTGGGTGTTAGTTGGCGTGTTCAGTTGAGAACGGCGGTCGTTTCGGCAAAGTAACGCAAAAATCAAAAATTTTTTTCTGATCGGCGTGCAAAAATATGGATAACCAAAATTACATTATGTGGCATAAAAAATTGAGCATATTTTCCGGTTGAACAAGTAAAAAATACCACCCACCACCAAAGCAAGTTGTGAGCCCCAAAAACGGTCGAAAAAGCGTTCAGCAGAGTATTTATATTTTTTCCGAAAAATTCGTAGTTTTAATGTGAAATATTGCACTTACTAAATTCAGATTTAATCAACGTAATCGTACTCGTTTACGCGCCAAATGCATTTGTTGATCGTTTTCGAACATCAGTCATTGATGACCGATCGCCTTGTGATCGCGTGAAATGCATGCGCTCATACGAATTCGCAATGACAAATCGCTCGTGACGAACGCGGCGTCGACCAAGCGCAGTTGGGTGAGAAAATTTACTTTTTAGAGCAATCTATTGCGTTGCGGCGGTGTACTTCTTACAGACTTTCGTACCCTATATTAAGATCAGCTCTTAGCTGTTCTTTAAAATGTTTACATTAAGAAACTTAATTCCACTACTTACTTCTTGATGTTGACCTCGGTATGTACTCATTTTCATGATATTTCCTAGTTCCAAACTCCTTCGCAAAATCTTTCCTGATCCATGTATAATTCTCATATATAGTATAATGCCGTCGGAAGGTTCGCTTGAATTTTGTTGGTTATTCGCCGCGTGTCTGCGCCGGAATGTTTGTTGCGCGGCGGGCCAATGGCTGCTTAATTATCGCGTCTTCAACATTTTGATTTCGTTATTTTCAAAAATATATTCGTCGGTTTGCTTTATTTTTGCAGGAATCTCGCTGTTATCTGTGGTCGCGGTGACTATGCGTCAATGGCGTATGGCTCAATGTATTTCTGTGCCTATTTTTATGTGCAAATTCTAAAAATTCGAAAAGAATCCAACACAGTGTGTGTTAAAAATAGCTCCTGTGGAATGTGTCTTCGCCAGCATGGGAAATAATTGTGTATGTGAAGTTGAGTTCTTTATACAAATAAATACAACTCGGTATATCTGAAAATTTCGTGTCAAAGGCAAAAGAATTCGTCCACATGTTTCCCGAAATCGATAGTTGTAAGTACTACTTCCCTATCTGCCTATATATAATTATTTAAGTACCTGAAAACCTGGAAACGACCTTGAATACTAATATTGGCATCTGTATATTTTGAATGAAAGGTTTCTACCCTCACTTTGACCATTATAATATATTCTTTTAATTATGCTAAGACCCGGCTCACTTGAGTCTTCCATCTCTTTCATGTCCTACCGATATGGATTACTATACAGGTTACGTAAACTCGACTGTCGTGGAAATGGTCTGCTTACGATGGAATCTAATGCTGTGGTTCTAAAATCAGGAAGTCTGATAAAACATTGTATTGTACTGACGCAGATCTAAGCCGGTGAGGTAGTTAGCTACAATTCGATCATGTAAAGAATCTTTATCATTGCAGTAAAAGATAGTCCACTTTGAAGAGTTATCTCCGTTCTGCCAAAGTCATCCAAAGATATCAACCAGCGGCCCAGTTATATTTATTATATTAAAGTCGAGTATATTTTAAAATGGTACTTCGAGTCTTATGACTAAAAATCTTGAAAAAAATTGAAGTTGCCGTCATCACAAAGCTTATTTTTATGTTTTAGAGAGTTTGTCCGGAAAGTAATTGGACTGAGTCGATTTAAAAAAATTTATTGAACCAATCGTTACAAGGGCGTCACGGGAGGTATTCTTCGAAATAGCCTTGAGAGCTGAGGTGCATGCTCTTTGAATTTCCTCTGTCGTCTCAAAATGCTTGGCTTCCATCGGCCTTTTGAGACAAGGAAACAAAAAAATCCGAGGGCAACATCTGGGCTGTAGAGCCGGGGCGTTGTCGTGGTGCAACTTCCAATCGGCTACGATGTCTTGTCTGCCTTCGTTTGAGTTTCTTGAGAACTTTCACGTAAAACTTGACGTTGACGTTTTGTCCACGAGGAACGAATTCATGGTGGACGATGCCTTTAATGTCAAAAAAGACAATAAGCCTTGTTTTCACGTTGGATTTGCTCATTCTTCCCTTTTTTGGGCGAGAAGACACCGGCGTGTGCTCGGAAGATTGTCTTTTTTGTCACATCACTTCTTGCTAAAGCAACATATGACTCAGCCTAATTGATCTTATCAAACGTCTCTCTCTCATAGTAACCGAGTTTCACACAGAATTTAATCGCATACCTCTACTCAAACGAACGCTGCAATCGGCTTGCATCACTCGCAGAAACACGTCGCGCAAAAATGTTTGTCCTGACTCTCCAGATGCTCGGAAACAATTGGCCAGCCGCTCGTCCGTAAGCTAGGTACGCCATCTACCGAATCTAGTCGGTACGAACAAACCCTATACCTATTACTTCAAATAGGCCTAGTTCTTTGAAATAACAGCCCTTGGCCGGATAAAATCCTGGTTATTTTTGATAACGTAGAACCAGCTGTGGCATCTTAGTTATCTTAGGGATAACGCATTCCCAAAAAATAAAGGAGTGAACCCCTTGAAGTTCTAATAAAACTTTCGGCTTATTATTAGCTCCACCAAAATGATCGCACACTCACTGTCTACAATAAAAATAGCAACAATAATTGCTTATCATTAATTTAAATTTCAGCAAAGTATTCTTACGATTTGACCGTTGCCATCGACAAATGTTGCGGCACCAACCAGGAATGCGGGCGCAAAGGCAGGATGCTGAGCAAGTGAAATGATCGCTACATGTTGATAAACAAATTCCGCTGCGACTCAGCTATGAAGCATAGCGAAGGGGTCCGTCCGTTGTTTTGTCTGCTTGCCAACAAGAGCTTTTACATATACACACACACCGCCGCCGCACAAGCCTCGGCAGTCATGTGGCTGTTGCGGCGACAAATCAACGGCCGGCTGAAGGCAACAGTGCTGCTTCTTGGTAGACAAGATTTTTAATAATGCATAACGAATCAGTGATGATCAGCGCAGATGATGCTGCAGTGCCGCCAACAACCGGGCATACAACACTACACTGCACCGGGAGGAAAGCTGGGAACATCTAAAATATGCTGGTGGCGGCACTCGAGCCCGCCAGAGACGGGCAGACATGCGCTCGCTCCACTATTCGTGTGGCAGCTACGCGGTTTCTGCGACAATCAATGCACACAGTTGCTGTTGTTGATGTTGTTGTTGTTTTCGCTCGATCCGTTGTTACTGCTGGTTGTTTTTATTGTTGTTGTTGATTAGGGGATTAAGTGTTTTGTTTTTGATTACTTGCGTGCGATTGTTTTGGCTTGGTTCGGTTGTCATTTGGCGGGCGATGCGTCAACTCGCCTGCGGCCCCGAGCAACTGCAAAATTCAGCAACAACATCGGTTTTGCATGTAAGTGTGCAAACTAAACTTCAGCATTGTGCACTTGTGCTGTTGTTGTTGTTGTTGCATTTGCTACTTTTCTTGCTGATTGCTATCGCTCTTATTTGCCACCAGTATTATTCCGGTCTCAGTTTCGCTTGCGCCGTGTTTACTTTAATAAATTATCGTCTATATATGCGCATGTGTGTGTGTATGCAAGTGATTTCGCTTTTCCCCCGTTCATTTTAGTTTTATTCTGACTTTTTGTCTTCGCCGCAAATATTTGCATTTGTGTTTTTTCTTATCTCTGCCATTTGCTTTTCTATTTTATGTTCCTGCTTCGTATTTACATTCTCGCCCATTGGGGGATTTGCACAGCACTAGCTGCATAGCTTCTGCATTCTTAAAGTGTGTATGTGTGTCTTTAGCCATTACTTGGCTTTGCTCAGAAAGTCTTAGGAGATTAAGATTTATGGTTATGCTTATGTTTTCTGTTGCAGTCGCTGCAGTCTTTGTTGTTTCGGCTCTAGCCGGCACCGACTGGTGTGCTGGTGTGGTTTAATAAAATGGCAGATTTATTCTTTTGAGGAAAAATTGGAAACACACCATTTTGCTTGGTGCAATATGTTGCGAAAGAGAAAAATAAAATATTTATAACAAAAAAGTATAACAATAAAAAAATGGGATTTATTAAGAGGGGACAATACAAGGAAGACACGAAAAGTAAAGCCAATTTTCATTTCTCTCAGAAGTATTTTCGGTATTCGTCTGTGTTATTGTTGTCCTCTTCAAAGTTATCCTAAATATTATATATATAATGCACTATTATATTCTTGAAATCGCCAAAACATACGGTGAAGCTTTTAGTTCCTATATCGCGACTACTTTTTGAGCTCTGCTTTTTCTTCATCGTAGAGGTGATCGCTTATTGGCAAGCATCCGGATAAAGATAGTTTGGCAAGATGATATTGGTTTAGCAAAGTTATGTGTCTCCGACTGAGAGTACATTTGAAGAGCTGTGGCAGACCTTTGTGGCAAAACCCTTTTAAATATGTATTCAACTACTTATATACAAACCAAACGCCTTGAATGAAACCTTCACGAATCTATTGAGGTATCAATTGCAGCCAGGTCCTTCTCCACCTGGTCTCTCCAAGGGTCTCTCTCTTCCTCTGCTTCCCAGGGCAGGTACTGCGTCGAATACTTTCAGAGCTAAAGCTTTTTCATCCCTTCGGACAACATGACTTAGCCAGCGTAGCAGATTTCTCTTAATTCGCTAAACTATGTCTGTATAAATCTTCCACAGAACCTTTCTCTCAAAAACTCGACTCATCAGATGCTGTCATCGTCCATGCCTTCTCACAATATAGCAGTACAAGAATAATGAGTGCCTTATAGAGTTTGGTTTTTTTCGTCGAGAGAGGACTCAATCCGAAGAAACATCTGTTGGCAAGATAGACGAAATTATCTACGACTTTGAAGTTATGGCTGTCAAACGTGACATCCGAACTAAGTCGCAAGTCCGAAGACTGTTCTTTTGATGACAGTAGATATTTTGTCTTGCCCTTCTTCTCCGCCAGACGTATTTGCTTCGCTTCTTTATGCAGTCTGGAGAAAGCAGAAGTAACAGCGCGGTTGTTGAGGCCAATGATATCGATATCATCGGCGTACGCCAGCAGCTGTTCACTCTTATAAAAGATTGTGCCTTCTCGATTCAGCTCTGCAGCTCCATTTATTTTCTCAAAGAGCAGTTTGAAAAAGTCACACGATAGAGAGTTGCCTTGTTTGGTATAGAGCGTCTCGGAGAGGTTCTTCCCGATTCTAATGGAGCTTTTGGTATTGCTCAACATCAGTTTACATAGCCGTACTAGTTTTGCGGGGATACCAAATTCAGTAGCTTTGAAATAAACGTTTTACTTTACTCACCGAATGAAAAAAGAGCTATGTAAAGCGAACATTATTTCCACAATCAGATGGTTTAAAAATAAGTATTGAAATCCGTTTGACTATAAATTCTTTTTCATGACACACGTTCGAAAGATAATATTCAAAAGGAATCAACCTTTGCAAAGGATCGAACTCGGGAACGTCTCGAACCAAATACGTAAAAGCAATACCAACAAGTTCCGTTCCCACAGTAAGCATCTTTTTTTGACAGATAATGTGAATTTATTTCATCATACATAAAGTCACATTTAAAATGGAACATCTGGTTTTTGTTTTCTGAATGAAAGCTCTGATTTTTATGGATTGTGTATGAATTATATCCAATAAACTCATATTCAAAGATGCTACATATATACAGGTGATCCTCTTATTACTCGGTTTTTACTGGTGTTCTTAAACGATACATATTTGCTTTCCACAAACCGTTCAAAAATCTGTATTTCCCATTAAGAAGTCCCATTGTGATTTTCAGTCTCACATTTTTATATCTCACTAACCTCACTTTGTTTCTCTTTGTTTGCAGATAATTTTCCAGTGCTTCGAAAATATTATTTCAATACCGCTATTTAATGAAAGAAATGCCGAAAGTGAGAGAATCGTTAAGTTCAAATTATTAAAATCCAAAAGGGTGAGTTGCAATCATGGACTGCCCGAGAGGTGAGCTTACACGCCGCAACCAAATTGGCTGACAGTGCTATTTTTTAAGTATAAAAAAATTTATTTTAATAAAAATATAACCAAGCTCACACGGTATTGGAACAGAGTTCTACGTGCGGTTTTCGATGAGCCTAACGACGGTCGACAGCTGTGCGTTTGGGGAACGAAGTGTAAGCGAAGTGCGAGTGCGCCTCATTTGGCTGTAATCGATACACTGTGGCCCCCACGCATGCAGCCAAAGGCGCCGCGGGGGCCCACCCATCATTGGTAGCGCTGCGCGTATTGCTGTTTCTGGCAACAACAACAACATTTCTGGTGGGGTCGGTGCCAGCCCTCGCGGTGTCCACAGCCCAAAGACAAATTGCGCATCGAATTGGCCAGACTAGTGTGAGGAGTAGCAACAACAACAAAAATTACAATAATTACAATAACAGCAAACGTATAAGTCATGCAGCAAACAAAGAGTCCGAAGCGGATGCAACATCTTTATGGCCATTTTTCACATGGCCGATGACACGAGCCGGTGTTGCAACGCCAACAACAACAGCAACAATTACACAACTAATGCAAACAACAAATGCCTCAGTAGCATCAGCTAGAAATAGGAAGGTGCCCATAAATTTGCGCGCCAACAGCGGTGATAGCGGTAGCAGCCACAACAACAACAACAATAACACTAATAATAATAGCATAAGCAACCAGCCAAGCGCAGGGCAAAACAAATATTTGACATGGTGCAAAATAGTGAGCGAACACAACAACAACGACGACAATTACACATACAAATCAAACAACTACAACGAAAGTTACAAAAGCAAAAGCAACATTGCAACAGCGACAGCGACAACGAGGCGCAAAGAACAAATTGGAAACGTAGACGGAAACGCCGGCGGAAACGGAAGCGTTCGGGTAGCGCATACGGGAAATGCCAATAAAAGTAGAATAAGAAAAAGCGAAAATAGTTACTACACTGTAAATAAATTTGTGTTAGCAGCAAATGAACGGCGCTCTGTCCGCAGACGCCGTGTAAATAAGAGCCTTGTAAATAGTGTAAATAAGCATAAAAATAGGCGTAAAAGTAATAATCGGCGCCGTGCCAACGGCCACAGTTCAATAGTGAAAGGAGAAAGAGAAAAAGGTAAAGCGTTCGCAAATATCACGCGCCCACAATTCGATCGCGAAAGGCAGTTCAGTGTAAATTATTTCAATAAAAGTGTTCGTGCTGGTGCTGGTGTTAGTATTGAGTCGCAGCGTATACAAAATAGTTCACAAAATCTTAATACGAATAAAGAGGAGGCAATATTTTCGGGTGAATTTTCTTCGCGTGCGCAAATTTCCACTCACGACAAACAGCAGTCGCTGACGGTAAATAACAGTGCAACAATTGCAACTACAACAACAACTACAGCAAGCACGCGGCTCGATTACATTGTCATTACCGATTACAATCGGCCACGCAAGCGCACCTTCTGGCAGAAATACGGTGAGTAGGTAATGCAATTTGTTCTTAACTACTATTTGTGAATTAAAATTTAGTTTGGCTTTTTGATTCTTTTTATAGACTTTTGGTTAAAATCCACTTCATTATTTGAATATTTTATATTCTCCTTAAGCTTCGTGTAAAACTTTTATTCGGTAGAAGTGTAAGTAATTCGATAGATTTTTGTCTTCTTTCTCCAATGGCCTGAAATTATTCATTTTGCTGGTTTCTGCGGTCATCTTTCGCCGATTGATTAATAATACTCCGTATGCATAATATTGTAATAATAAATTGATAATTAAATTCTCGAAAGGAGCTCACAAAAGAGTTTGTTTTATAAAATTTTTGGTTCAAGGTCCAACTTTTTTGATGATCATTTCATTTTATACAATTCTTTGTACTTTTTCTTCCCTTTTTATAAATATCGCCCTCCAAAATTGTTACTTAAAAGTCAAACTGCTGCCCTGACATAATTCAGGTACTCTAAATTCAAATGTGTAAATTTTAAAGCAAAAACTTTTAAAGATCCACGAAACTGTTACTTGTAACTTTCAAAATATTCCTCGAACCCTTCCAACCTAATTCCTTTTCTAGAGTTTTCTTTGGCGGCCACATATAGCGTACTAATAATAGCCTTACTCAGTAATATACAGAAAAAGAGGTAACCTAAAATTTTCTATAATATATTATCCTCTTAGACTCTGGCTTTTCTTTTCCAGCATTTATTTCGATTCATCGGGATGGTATTTCTTTCCATAACTAAAAATAATTGAGGAAAAATTGTACTTCATACATTTACCATCTGATCTGATCTGATTTGATTTGGACTGAAAACGATTAAATCAGTTAGGGTAGTATATGTCTATTAGAAAAATGTAAACTTGTTATTAAAGATTATAAATAAATAAAAATTTAGTCAAAAATATTTCAAAGAAACGTTTTCCATACAGATTAAGCTTTTTATAAACTGTTTGAGAATTATATGGGCGAGCAACTAATCGAATCAAATAATTTTTAGCGCTTTATAGAATATGTAGCACCTAAAAGAATGCTTTTATAATTGTATTTGTATTATGAAGATTGATTGATGAATTTCATACAGAAATCCGTTGGAGCGCTTACAACGACCCGCTGTTCTCTGCATAATATCAGCGCTAAGAACCACTCCAACGGCTATACTAATAAGGTTATTCAATCGATATTGCGTTAGTGAATTCTACCCTAAAGCCTTCAGGCTTAGGTCAATAAGAGGGGAGTTGGTAAATAAAATAGACCACATATCCTAACGCTTTTTTGGGAGAAAAAGTTTCAGAAGGGGAATAACGACGGAGTCTCGCCAATGGAACTTATAACATCAATACGGAATAAAAATGAGGTAGGAATCGGAATCCATTGCTCCTAGCAGGAATTCAGGTGACTTTTCATACTTCTCGAATGCTTTGGTATTTTCCAAACAGAAGTCTTTGCGGTCAGGAAAAACTGGGCTTCGGGTCACAAAGAAGATCCGGGAAGAGATTGCCAAAAATGCCATGACTCTGCCTATCGATAGCCATTAAAAACGACATCAAGTGAAGTATGCGAGAGAGCTCACAGACGGATCAGAGAGCGATGGACGATGGCCTTATTGGCCATGCTAAATTACAAAGGAAACGAGTAAGAGCCCCTAAGAAAAACACGCATGCTTTTTACTCACAAGTAAACAGGACGGTTGTTGGCCTAATGATAGGTTACAACCTACTGGGTCACATGTCGGATGGGCAAAAATAAAAACGATATTTGCATAAAGTGCAAGGAAGTAGACATGAGTCGACTTAGATCTACAAAAGTACTATATCTATATATATGTCAAACCGCTCTTAAAGATCGCAAAAAGCGGTGACATCCTATATCCTTCAACTCAAATTAAATTGAACCTCCATCTGACATTACCAAGGTTCAGTAGGTCCTAACCTAAAATAAACGAAAAAGTTTAGACGTGAAACTAATTTCTAACATTTATCGCCTCTATCGGACGTTCTTACTTACTGTGTCCCGCAAGAATTTTTTTACTATGAGTATTTTCTAATTTTAGCAACACAGTTATAAATAAGCAATTAACGGAATATTAGTTAATAGATAATTAGACAATAAGAGATAATTAGCCTGCAATTTAGTTCAACCACAACTGTATTTGAGTTTTCATCTACGCATAATGATTTAATGCCAATTAACACTTCACTGCCAGCCAACATTAAAACTCACACACACACTCAAACCGCACATGTCATGAAAAGCGTTTGTTAGCACTTACCTACACAAACACACACACACACCGCTCGCCTCAGACTTTATTATAAGAGCATTTCGTGGACTCGCCACATGTGCAACTTTTATAGCCATAAACCATGTCTATGGCCAGCCAGCGAAATTGCTTTATTATAGTTGAGCGTCAAAAAGTTTTACAGCCACAATAAAGCACAAGGCAGAACAAAGAAGAGAAAAAAGAAAGCAACAGCGTACACACACACACACATTAAAAGGATTTGGCAACCTACTCTCTTTGAACTAATAAAATGAAATTACCTTTTAGCTATGTGCCTCGTGGCTAAGCGTTTATTACGTGTATACCATGTCAGCTAGTCGGCTGGGGGAGCCGGAGTGAGCAAGCGTGTTGTGAGGTTAGTTGATGTCCGGTGTCTGGTCAACGCGCGCGCAGAGTCATGTTTAATTATTCAAATCCATGTCATGTCTCGAGATAATTGCATGCATAGCCAATGTGTGCAACACACACACTCACTTATACAAATATCACATGCGAAAGTTAGTTGGCCATCAACGTCATTGTCGCTGCCACGCCTACTCCCTTCAGTCAGCTCGCACTCGAGGTCCACTGAGCACATTCGCCCATTGGAACCATCACGTTCACAGCCACGGCCTGCCATCAGCTTTTACTCAACACTTCCCTAGGAGACAGCAGTCCCAAAAAGCTCCACACATACACGGACTCAAGCATGCTGCAAGTTTACGTGTCTCGTTTGTGTCGCTTGTGCACCAACATGACATTACTCCCACATGCTCGCTCGAATGGCAGCTTGTCACAGTCGTCGGGGCAGCCAGCTAAATGGAGGCAGCTTTGGCGGACAGACAAATTGACAGACAAACAACACACATGTACTCTTGTACTACTTCACACACACACTTCATAGACACATATACATATGCGGCCCAAGCAGCTCTCGATAAACTTTCCCAGTTAGCGGCTTGGCGTGGAACATGTGTGCCTGACAGTTGTTAATATTGTTGCATGTGGAGTTTATTATTGCTGCTGTCTCTATTGTTGCTGCTATTATTGTTAATGTTGTTGTTATGCTTCTACTACCGATTGCAATGCCAGAAATTTTTGATTTTACTTCACTTCACTCGAACCCGTTAATCGCTCGGTTTGCTAGTTTTATTTTGTTTTGTTGTCGTTATTGTTGTTGTTGTTGTGAATTTATTTCATTTTCGTGTCTTGCTTTATTTTATGCGCTGCATTTGAATTGCAGACGTGGGCTCCAACAGCGTCAGACTGTCTGGGTTGTTATGCCCCGCATTCAGACTGTCTAATGCAAGACGCCGACTGGCACGCTATGCGGCACAGTGTGGCAATTCAATGAAATAGCGAAAAAATATTATAAAAGTTGTGTTCATGGTGATTGGTCAATGGAAATTCGCAAGTTTTAAGTTCCCTGTCCAGCAATCGCATCAACTGAACTTTGGTGTTGTGAAGGTTGGTGTTGGATGAAAATTTCAAAGGTTAATTATAAGACCAAATTATTAACTAGACCATACTTTAAAGAACTAAAAATGTACTATTTTGATCGACCACGTCTTGCCATTTTTCCGCTAGAGACATTGTTGTGGTTTCTCGGCGAAAAACTGCGAAAAGTAATTTTCACAGGCTTCCATTGCAGCCAACTTTACTGCATTAAGAGAGTTCTGCATTGACCGAAACAAACGGAAGTCCGATGTTGAAAGGTCAGGGTTATATGCTATATGCATCAAAACTTCCCAGTCAAGCTCTCCCGGTTTTAGCCGAGTCATGAAAGAAGTGTGTGGTCTAGCGTTGTCCTGATGGCCGATTTTTTTCGCCTCAAATTAGCAAAATATATTTGTAATAATTACAAATGAATACTAATAATTAAATAACGTATCACTCAGCAAACGCAATTATATTTGTAGTGAATACAAAACAAAAAAAAAAAAAAAAAAAACAGAGCACAAATAGTTGTTTGGCGACCGCAGACCGCGTGTTGGTAATCGGCCGTCAATTTGTGAATGTCAATAATTTAGTATGTGTCGCTTTATGGTTAAAAGCTTTTATTAACGAACTTTCACACAGACTATGCGTAGTGACGTGTGTTAGTTCGATTATTAGGTTGGTTTGTCTTTTTTTTTCATTTCAAAAGAGAGAACAAGTTCTTTTTAATGAGCTCTGAGCTAATGTTTATGGAAAATATTGTAATGTAACAAATCCTTTAAAAGTAACTTTTTGTTTTTACAAAAACAAAAGAATACTCGAATATGTATTTTTTAGATTTTATGAGTAAGCCTGAGCGGGGCTGCAAATTTTTAAGTAATTCAAACATTTTGGTTTGATAAGACAATTTTCTCTAATAATAGTATGTTCTAATGAAAACCGCTGCCCACCCTACTGTCGACTAAGTTTTATCTAAACAAGAGGCGTTTATGTAAATACGATTGACCATATCTGCCTATCTCTGCAAGTGGGTGGCGTTAACCTCGTAATCTGTGTATTTCATTATGCGTGTGTGTGTGAGTTCGCCTCCTACTTCTGCAAATTGCTATCAGTTTGGTAGCCATGAAATATTGATTATTGATTTTCATTCACTTCATCAATATTTAATGCTCGAAATAATTGCATTCACATACACACATACACATATACACATATGAATGTGCATTTTGTGGTTTTGAGGTTTCACATTGACAATCGCAATCAGTTCATTTAACTTGTTGTCAGC